GATCGTGGAAAAGGTCCCATAAGATCAAACGCCACCAACTGAAACGGATGGGAAACTGCAATTGACTCCAACCGTCCTTCCGCAGCACAAGGGGGAGTATTACGAGCTTGGCACCAAACGCAGCTACGCACATACCGGATAATATCACGTCGCATCTCCGGCCAATAAAAAGACCTGCACAGCTTCTCGGTGACACGACGGTGTCCCATATGCCCACCTAGAACAGGAGAATCATGGTAGGCATGGAGAAACCGTGGAATAAACACCGAAGGTACCACCAATCGTAAATGATCATCAGGATCCGTCCCCACAAAATAAAGAAGGCCATCTTCAAGGCAATATTAAGAATGTAAATGCCGGAAAGGCAAGTCATCAGCAAGTGATGCAGGATTCTCAAACCCATCTCGAAGCCTTCGAATCCACGGCTCAATCTTCTGAGCCTCGCGAACCTCCTCAAGAGAAGGCAGATCTTGCTCTGCACCCTGTGGACACTGAACGTCAAGGACAGCAACCGCCGACGGCACAGAATCCTCATCTAGAAAATCCACAGATGCTGGAACAACAGGTTCGTCAGAATGATGAGAAGTGAATGAAGAAGGAAGAGGAGCTTGAGAAAGGGCATCAACATCAGCCATAGAACTCCCTAGGCAATGAACAACATCGAAATTATATATCTGAAGCTTCAAAGCCCATCGAGCCGTACGACCAATCAGGTTCTTCTGCTTCAATAATGAAGTAACAGCAGCATGGTCACCTTCAAGTAACGTCCGAGAACCATGTAGATATGCATGAAGTTTCTTGAAACCCCAGACTGCTGCTAAACACTCCTTCTCCGTCGTGGAGTAGTTCATCTCCGCTGGTTGTAATGTACGGCTTATGTATGCAATGGGATAGCGCTGACCAAGCACACTCGAGCTCTCTTGCATCAACACACCTCTAAGACCAATGTCAAAAGCATCCACACGCAAAATAAAAGGTCGAGTGTAATCAGGATATGCCAAAACCGGAGGAGTTGTCAATAACTCTTTGAGATCCACGAACGCCCGCTCACAATCCGGAGACCAGATGAAAGATGACGTTGATGACTTCAGCAACGCTTGCAATGGTGTAGTGCGATCGGAAAGATGATCCACAAAACGACCAAGATACTACACCTTACCCAAAAAGCGCTGCACATCATTTACACACTTCGGAGTAGGGAACTTTAGAACAGCCACAAGTTTGTCAGGATCAACTTGCAAACCCTCACGAGAAATACGGTACCCAAGATAAGTTGTGTCCTTGGACCCAAACACGCACTTCGACCGCTTCAGCTTTAAACCAACGTCGCGTAGCCGATCCAACACTTTACAAACATCACGAACGTGCTCCTCCCACATCCCCTCCGAGTGGATCAAGACATCATCAATGAAGTCAGCAGTCACCTCCGGCATATCGCAAAGAACCTCGTCCATCATCCGCTGGAAAGTTGCTGGAGCATTGTTCAAACCAAACGGCATCACTAAGAACTCGTACAAACCAAATGGTGTACGAAAAGCAGTCTTAGGAATATCTTCTTCGGCCATTGGTACTTGCCAATACCCAGAAGCAAGATCTAGCTTGGTGAACCAACAACTTCGCCCCAGACGATCCAAGAGATCAGCAGTGTGAGGAAGAGGATACACATCTGGGATCGTCACTTCGTTTAACGGACGATAGTCGATGCAAAAACGAATACTCCCATCAGGCTTCGTCACAAGATGAGGTTCACATGCCCAAGGACTCCGCGACTTCCGAATAACACCCTTTTCCAGCATTTCCTTGACGTTTGCTCGTAAAATTTTGATCTCCTTAGGTAACCGACGACGAACAGGAACCTTGATTGGACGAGCATCCCCGGTGGGAATTGGATGACGTGTGGCAATCTTGGCCCCAGACGATAGGTCAAATTCAAAGAGATCAGAATACTCTTTCATGAGCCGGTCAACTGCTGCAACACAAAGATCGTCGGAGGGATCGGAAAAGGGAAAAGCAGAACAAGATGGAAACACAGAAGGAAAGAGTGGGGAAACAAAAGTAATGGAAGCAGAGGTAGAAGTAGAGGGACGAAGAGGTATGGAAGTGAGAAGAATAGATGAAACATAAGGAAGTATGAGACAAGGGGGAGAAGCCTCAAAGTCACACTTGGCATGATTGCGCTACAACCAATCCATACCAAGAATGAGGTCAAAAGCTTGACTCGGCACCACCCGCAACGACTGCAACTCAAGCTCGAGATCGCCCACACGCACAACCAGGTCCACCTCATCCCGTGCACATGCATGTGTACGGCCGTTGCCATAAAGAATGAAAACTGGTTCTGCCGCACGACGCAAGTGTAGACGACAACGTGTGGCAACAGGTCAAGCAATAGAAGATAAACTCGAACCTGTATCAACCAACACGGAGAGAATAATAGGAGACTTCTTGTTATAAAAACGAGCTTGGAAAGTAAACACTGGATGAACTGGTGCCGAGTGAACCCCTTGATGATACTCCCGAAAGAAAGATGGAGGGGTCACTGATTTATTCGCGCAAGGTCCCTCCGTTACTCGCGCGACTCCTCGTTTCCCTGATGCATCTCGGTGTCCAGACATTCCACTGCAGCAGCACCCAGGGGACGTTGCTGACGCCAAGGTCTCCACCCAGGAAATGGAGGTCGCCAATCCGGAAAACAACGACAACGCCGATAAGTATGACCAACTTCATCACACGCCCAGCAGCGAACATCACGGCCACGACCACATCCTCGCGCTTGTCCTTGGACTCGAGCAGCAGCAGCATCAACCTCCATTGGAACAGGACCATCACCCATAGGAAGTGGAGCGGAAGGACATGCAGCGAGAAGTGGAAGAGGCGACGTCTCATAACGTTGTGCCAAGCGAAGAGCATCGTCAAGGGTGGCAGGAGCAAGTGCATGCACAAGTCCGACAAGATCTTGACGAAGTGCTGGCCACAACATTCCTAGCTTGATCCGCTCCGACATATTTGGCTCCGCACGAAGCAAAAGACTTCGGAAACGAACGCCAAATTGCATCACCGACTCCGATGGCCCTTGGCGAAGACAATGCAATTGTTGGAAAGCATCATCACAATCATCGGCATGTCCGAAGGTGCGTTTGAAGACGTCCGGGAGAACACTCCAATCCCCACGAGTAGCTGCGCTCAAACCATTGTACCACTGCAACGCCGTCCCTTGGAGACATGTGGGAAACTCACGCAACCGTCGAGCATCATCCCAAGAATGATATGTGGCAATCACCGTAAAGTGATCGAACCAATGGTACACATCATCCCCAGGATTCCCGCGAAAGAACTCCGGCCGAACGTGAGGACTGGCACCAAGAGCAGGAGGAGTTGTACCACGTGCCGTGAACGCCGCCATCAACTGAGTTTGGTTGTTCAATTGCAAGCACATAGCATCAAGCAATTGAACCAACTGCTGCTTTAGAGTCAAAGGAGGAGATTGTGGATCGGCCATGAAGATGAACGAAAAAGAAAGAGCAAAAGAAGAGAAATGACAAAAAAGCTGGAAAGAAATGGTAGATCTAGACAATGCAAAAAGCTAGATCGAAACCAAAATCCTGAAAGGAAAGAACAAAAGAAAGGAAATGGAAAAAACTAGATTTAGACGATGCAAAAGCTAGATCTAAACCGAAATCCCAAATCCAAGCACTCCCCAGGGATAATCAAAGGTGCCCCTCACCTCCACCAATGTGAGTGCATGGAATATGGAAAGGGAATACAGAAATGTGCATATCAATTAGCCCAAAAACCCTAGCTTATATACAGAAGCGAGTGGTCCGGATTGAAACCAATCCGATGGCTACCAAAATCCACTACACTAATATTAGTATACGGCATTGTAACCGTACACTTGGCCCTCACAGAATAATATTTTCTTATATAATATTTAAAAATAACTTATGGATTGCTACTCGATCCTCAGCTTCTAGCTTACTTCCAAGAGTCTGATCTTCGAGAAGAACCTAAGCCTCATTACCATCAATGCCTTACTACATTTTAATTGCCCAAGGGATATATATGGGCATTAAATGAATCACAATGACATGTGCATATCACATAAATATTTACAAATGAATAAAGAAGATGCTCAACTTTGGATTGCCATGATTTATAGTATACATATTAAATCAGTAAGATCATAAAATTTCAAAATCAACTTCTAGAGATTTCTAGTTATCATACTTGAATTAGTGTTGAAAATGAGATTTTGATCTTTTGGATTTAAAGAGCTAACTAATAAATTCTTGAGACCAATGAAAAAGACTTCTTAACATGTAATCACTTGAGAAAAGTTTTATTATAATAATAATATATGAAAGCTTTATCTAACGCAAGTCGCGCAGCTTGCTGGCAGACTTGCTCAATCGCTCTCTGTTCCTCGAAGCAAACAGTAGCATTCTTAGAGTATGGCATTTAGATTAGGTACAATATTTCTTTTCTAAAGGTGGAAAAATTATCCATGTAAAAATATCAAAACAATAAGGGCAAGAAATTAAACTTGGATGATCTATGAGAGAAACAAGGCATTATTAAGTCTTAAAATTTATTTACTTTTTTCTAAAATATTTGAGTAAATTTTAAACCTATCAAGGCTCTCTCTCTCTCTCTCTGTATAGAATAAAGTGATAAACATTTCCACAAAATTTTCAAGGTTAATATGATCTAATTTTTAATTTCTATTATATTAATATCTAACTGTTTAAATAGTGACCAGGCTTTGGCTTCTTAGACTTCCTCGTTTAGCCACATTCCTGCAAATCGATGCTTCAAGACTGGGTGCATCATTTGGGATGTATCTAGTCTTCCTACGTGCAGCTCCTCAGTAGAGGGAAGCTTTCGCTCTCTCACACGTACGACCTTATCTTCGCGTGGAAATTAGAATTCATGGAATCTATATTTCTTGATACTCACACTCTATGATTTACAAATAGTTCCATGGCAAGTATGTGAAGCAAAGCCCCTAAAGAGTGTGCCGGGCCAAAAAAATTTTAAAAATATCTGGCGCTCTAGGTCGCGTTTGATGGCTATGGCGGACCACCGCCTTACGTCTTCGCTGCTGGCCTTGCCGCTCTTCTTCCTCGTCGCTGTGGTGATCGCGGATCCAGGTACGTAAAGATTGGATCGCTTTACAGCACTCAAAGATTTTTTGGATCCAGATGCTAAGACCTGCGCGGACGCGGAGAAAGTTTCGGTGGAGCTCTACACCGAATCGCTGTGCCCCTTCTGCGCGAATTTCGTCGTCAATTACCTCAGCAAGTTCTTTACAAATGGCCTCATTGAGATTGTCGACCTGAAGATCATCCCCTATGGAAATGCGAGGATGGATTCCAGTGGTCACATCACTTGCCAGGTTCTTATCATTGATTTATCTGGTCAAATTATTCTTCGTTTTGATCTTCGCAGCACGGACCCGACGAGTGCAAGCTCAACATAATCCAGTCATGCGCTATCCACCTCTGGCCAAAAGTGGTGAGCATCAATTACGTCTTGCTATTAATCGAAAAAACCAATGTGTTCTTGCGAAGGATGCGTGGTTCCCATTTATCTATTGTCTCGAATCTCTTCCCAGGGCCATAGCTGCCGAGGCTTGGAAGAGTTGTAATTCCTCCATCGCCAACATCACACTCGTGGAGGAATGCTACAAAGGACCTACCGGTTTACTGGTTCGAGTTCTTCTTCCAGTTTCTTTGCTGTTTTTTTGTCTTTCTCATTTTTTCCCAACTTTGTGATCCTCGCAGCTCGAAAAAGGCTATGCCAAGATCACTGGCGAGCTTGATCCTCCGCACAGATATGTTCCATGGGTGGTCGTGAATGGAAACCCGTTATATGAGGTACGAAGAGCTCCTGTTCTTAGTTTAAGCTTCCAAGTTTCTTCCTTTGCTCTTGTTTTTTGGTGTGTCCCTCTTTTGGGTAAGAACTCCACCGTTTGGCCCTTTGTTTGGAGATTCTCAACTTGGTCATAATTTTGCTTGATCTTTCTCTTGTCTCACCACAGGGAACTTGCATTATATTTTACTCCTGTGTGTCATCGTTTGTGCTGTCACATATCTCCGCGAGCAAAAAAAAGCCCCGATTCCCTTCCATAGTGATCCAAACGTTTCTCGTGTATAAAGACTGTTTGTTCCCCTTGGTTTCTCGCTCCTGTTTGATCTGGCATCTCTTCGAATTGAGCAGTGCTTCTCGCTATATCATTACTTCCGGGCTTCCACAGAAAACCATTTAGATTACACTAGAACTCTCTAGACGGTCTTAAACTTAACCGGCATCATTTCTTTCCTCCAGGACTACGGAGACATAGAGAAATACGTTTGCGACGCTTACAAGGGTGACCACAAGCCACAGCTTTGCAAGTCCTTTGAGAGACGGTCACGATTGGGGCTTATGACGAGCATCAAGGACAAAGCTTGCATGGCGTAGCTTTGAAAAAAATCCGAGAGAGAACCATATAAAAATGTAAATACTACACTATTATGGGTGTAAATACTATAGAAAAAGGGATAGAGAGAGGCATAGTATTGAAAAAAAACTGCTACGCGTTGCATGAAGCAACAGTTGATTTACTTAATGGTAGTTTTATTATTACTTATTAATCCAATTGATCAAATGAAGTTTATAATTATAAGCATGTTTGTAATTTATAATCACAAGATTAATCTTATTGCATATTAATAAACAACATTTGGTTTGTTAAGAATTCTTAGAAGAAGTAATTGATATGAAACCCTATTAAATGAGTATTTGTGGGCATAAATTTTTTTCTTCAATTATCATATGTTAGAATAAAATTGGGTAAGAGTTCTAAATTTACATTTGACTAATGTAATAATCAATCATGTAATTATATATCTTTAAGTAACTAAACAACTTCTTTATAATACAACTCTACTCTTTTATACTTTAAGAGTGTTGGAGTGTTTATTTATTATAAAATATATGTTTATAAATTTTAAATACAAAATCAGTTTAAATGAATAATAATTGTAATTCTAGCTGATTAGGGCTTGAAGGATGTTGTGGGAGGCGGATGCCAAAATGCTGGGTCGGGTGGTTGGCACGCTTAATCGGAAGTGGAGAGAGTCAGAAAGGCTGTGGCAGGAGCTGGAGGGGCTCATGAAGAAGATGCACAGGGACAAAGATATGAGCGAGGGTTTGTTAACAATTCCGCCTTGTAAGCTCGACTCAGGCACCTTTTCTCTCAAGTATGGCCTCGTTAAAATCCATCGTGACCAGATGCCACACTACGACCAATTCCGGCTCCGCGAGATGGAGCTCCCAGCCGTCAACGCTGTGCATCTCCTTGCGAGCATTGCCGTTGGGAAAGCAGTCCGAGCTCTCGAAGATCCTCGGGATCATGGTCGAGGCATCCAAAAGCTTCTGCTGACTACATTCCGCGATTTCACCTCGCCATTGCCTGAACATGCCCCCGTGAGGAACAAGGACGAAGAGGCTTTAGAAGAATTCCTGGAAGGGGATGGAGAGGGTGAGTTTTTCTTTCTTTCCTATTAGCTGCTACTTATCCTTGATCATGCTTTCAGTCCGGCGAATGCTCCGTTCTATTCTATCCAAAAGAGTCAGGAGAGTTGTAAGGTAAACATCGTCACTAAAACGTACTCGTAGATCTGATATGCCATTGCGCAGCTCCGAAGGCTTTCTTCTGGGTGATGCCGAAGAAGAGATTCTAAATCTTGCTGAAGAGGATGAAGATGTAGAAGACCCGACTAGGACGAAAACCCTGGATTCTGACATGCAGCACAGGCACTCCGATATGTTCGTCAAAGTTTACAGCAAGGGACGTCGCAAGGAACTGCGGGTGGCGGTTAGCTTCAAGACCAGCGCAAAGTGAGTATAGATCGAAGTTCTTTTACATGAAAACATTTGCTTGCAGTAGCGAGAATCTCTATCAGCCGGCCGCGTTTGTGATAAAAAGCCTCGCTCGGGCACCATCCAAGGAGCATTGGCCTCCTGTTTGCATCCAGGTGTGGGACAAGCTGAGATGGTACTATGGCTACATCGAAATCCAGGAGTTTGTTCGAGTGGAAGACGAGGAGCTAGTCGAAGAAAGCTTGGCTTGTAAGTGAACAGCAGATTTCGTCTCCTATAGCTCACCTTTTGACGCGATCCATTCTGTGCTTTGCAGGTTTTCCTCTAAAGAAAAAGGAAGAGCTCGTCACAGGGACTGTTCGACCATCCCAGAGAATGGTCCAGAAGAGATTTGCCGAATGGAAGACGGAGCTTCATGGACAAGAGATGAAGATCCCAGACGGGAGATATCCCGTGGGCGAGCTTTTCATCCATCCTGGGGTGTGGCTTATGTCAAGTTTCGATTTGATTTGATTCGTTTTATTTTTTCTTTTTCTGCTTTTTCAGGGGGAAACCTTGCCAGATTTTAGTGTAGCGAAAAAGCTGTCGGAGGGCTTGCACCTGTTTTACGAGGGGATGCTCAAAACTTTGGTAGGTCGGGAGGTGACGAAATGGACTCCTCGCGATGTAAGTTTTTTTTTATTTTTGTGAATTTTGTTTTGTACCTTGGATTTTGATTTTCTGTTTTGTCATTTTCAGGTTTACAGTGCATACTATAGGAGAGGGGAGACGGCTAAGCTGGCGAGAAAGATCGGCATTCCAGAGGATCAGTGGGAGTATGTACCAGGGCTTATGCAAGAGTTGAAACAAGACGTCGAAAATATTATAGCCACAACATCGTCTGGAATAACTCAAGCTCAAGATTTGGGAATGTGATACTTATTGATTGTTTGAGAAAGAAGTTCTTCTTTTGCTCACGGTTTTGTCTTCTTCGGGAAGGTTGTGGCATTGGTCATGATTTTGCTTACTCTTTTCCTTTTCCATCCAGGACACCATGTTGAAGACTCACACTTTTACATACTTGTGTAGATCTTATTGCGTGGATCCTAAGATCCTGGAGCTTCTTATAGCTTTAATGCCGCAAGCATACTAGAGAGAGAACTCTTCTTCCTGTCATTTGCTGGGTATGTGCAATGAGCTATGCCATTTTTGTCATTTGCTGCTTCCTGCAAAAGTGGTTAGTTAATTAGCAAAGAGAAGACACAATAGTGTACCTCTGAAATTTAATAGACTTCTAGAGCTTCAACATCTCCTTGTTTCTGCCCCATGTTTGAGCACTTTTTTTGGCATGGTTTTTTGGCATTTGGCGTAGGGCACCTGCATGTGCCCTAAAAAACCATTTGGTGGCTAAATCTTCATGAATGTTTTATGAATTTAAATTGCATTTTTATTTGTAACCCTTTTTTTTATATTTGAACCCTAATGAATTATATTTTAAATTCTTTGTTTTAGTTGCTTACAATTCATTATGTTTTTTTGCAAATTCACACTCTTGTGAACAGAAGTTAAAAACTATCTATACATGTAAAAAAAGATAAATGCAATATAAGATTGGATCCAAGACAAACAATCTCTCTGCACAACGCTTGCCATTCTCTGCATTCAAATGCCTCTGCAAGAGCTTTAATCTATTGATACCTTACCTCTTAGGTCTAGCCCAATTAGATTAGTTCTCTAGATACTTAACTCTAAGTATTTAATACTTTTAATTGATTAAAAAAATGTAATTTTCTTCATTTTTTATTTGAATTCAAATATATTATCTCTCAGTCACACTTTAGTTACTTATAACATTGTGGTGAAGTTAATTATTTTATATTAAATAACCAAGTAAAACAGTTTAGCCCACCTCCCACAAAGCTTTAATGACTTGCTATATGGAGCAATTTAATTATTTTTGAATGACTTAATCATCTAAATATAAAATAATATGTGAGTGTTTGGAATATAGAAAGGGAATACAAAAATGTGCATATCAATTAGCCCAAAAACCCTAACTTATGTACAGGAGTGAGTGGTTCGGATTAAAACTAATCCGATGGCTACCAAAATCCCACTACGCTAATATTAGTATACAGCATCATAATATTTATATCAAACAAACTTCCAAGTGCTAATGAGGGCCATTGGCTAGCTATAGCCATTATGAAATGAGTGCTAATTATGGCTATGGCTACAGGAAAGCAATATTAGCCATGACCAAGCAAGTCTTGCCAAGGTTGATAAATTAATGCTGGTCTGAGAAAGAAAATAGAAGGGCCTAGTAAAACCTAATGAAAACATTGACAAGTAGAACTTTCCATCTTCTATTCTATACAGAAAAATAACTATTCCTATTTACGAAAATCATTAGGGCTTTGGAGCTGGACGAGAAGACGCGCAGGAGGAGGATAAGACTCAGGATTTGTTCGACACTCCGCCTTGTCAGCTCGACGGACAACTTCCCATGGCCTCATCGTAATCCATCACGGAGACCGGATCATGCCACACTACGACCAGTTCCGGCTCCCTGAGATGAGCTGTTAATACAGCATATCTCCTCACAAGCATTGCCGTTGGCAAAGCACTCCGAGCTGGAAATCCTGGTGGCGACGATAAACGGCAGGGCATGATCCAAGAGCTTCTGCTGACTACATTCCGGGAGTTCACGCCCAAACTTAGGTTTTCTCTCTTTTGTTGGCTGCTAGTTATCACTTGATGCTTTCAGTCCGGCGAATGAGCAAGACAGATGCAAGGTACGAACCGTTACTAAAACGTATATTATAGATCTGATGCCATTGTGCAGCTCCGAGTTTGTCATGGGCTATGCCAAAGAGACTCTAGAGCTTTTTGCAGAAGACGGTGAAGATGTAGGAGACCCGACTAGCCTGCAGCCCATGCACTCCAATGTGTTCGTCAAAGTTTACAGGGGCCTCCGCGAGGAACTGCGGGTGGCGGTGGACTTCAAGAAAAACGCCAGCGGAAGGTCTGTAAGAAGCCAAATAGCTCGAAGTTCTTGGCATGAAACATTTGCAAGCTTGCAGTAGCGAGAATCTCTATCAGCTGGCTGCTGTTGTGATTAACAACCTGGCTTGGGCACGAATGGAGCAGTGGCGTCCGGTTTGCATCCAGGTGTGGGGCATGGTACTACGGGTATGTTGAAATCCACGAGTTTGTTCAAGTGGAAAACGAGGAGCTAGTTGAGGAGAGTTTGGCTTGTAAGTGCTGAACAGAATATTCAGTTTCTAACTCAATCCCCTGCAGGTTTTCCTCTGACGAAGAGAGAAGCTCTTCCTTTGACCGTCCCTGGGAGTGTGCCACCATGTCGGAGAATGATCCGAAGAGATTTGCGGAATGGAGGGCGAATCTTCATTGTCAACAGATTAAGATCCCAGATGGAAGGTATCCAGTGCGCAGGCTTTTCATCCATCCATGGGTATGTTATGTCCGTTTTCATTGTTTTTCTTAGTTCTTTTTTTTCGCATGGTTTTTAGGGGCTCAGAATGCCAGGTTTTCGTTCAGACCAAAAACTTCATAAAAGCTCGCATCTGTTTTACGAGGGGATGCTGAAAACCTTGATGGGTCGGGAGGTGACCAAGTGGACTCCTCGCGATGTAAAAAATTTTGTTTGTTGCTTTTTTATTTTTTGAATTTTTTGGTCAGGTTTACAATGCGCATTATAGGAGAGGGAGACGGTTCAGTTGGCGAGAAAGATCTATATTCCAGAGGATCAATGGGAGTATGTATCAGGGCTCATGCAAGAGTTGAAGAAACAAGAACTGGAAAATAATATAGCCACAGCATGAAATAAATGAAGCTCAAGATTCTGAATGAAGCTTGTGATTATATAGTAGCAATTATTTATTTAAATTTGAAAGAGAAGTTTTTCTGTTCTTTGGTGTGTTATTTTATCTTCTTTTTTGGGAGAGTTTGGTCTTTCCTTTGGATTCTCACCTTGGTCATGATTTGCTTGATCTTTCCCTTGTCTCATGAGCCATGCACTGTTGCTACTTCACAGTGTTAACTGTTGCATTGATCAATATATTTTACTCCTCGAGCCTACTGCTTGTCCTCGTTTGTGCTCTCCGAGCAAAACAAAGCCTCGATTCCTCTCCATCGCGATCGAATGTAGCTACTGTTTTTTCTACTTGGTTTCTCGCTCCTGTTTGATCTGGCATCTCTTGCAATTGAGCAGTGCTTCTCGCTATAGCATTACTTCCGGCCTTCCAGAAAACCCTCTAGGATTCTTAGACTAGAACTTTATAGACGATCTTAAACTTAAATAGTGATTTTTCTTTCTTTCAGGACTACGTAGAGAAATACCTTTGCGCCGACCACTACAAGGGTGACAACCAGGGCTCCACAGCTTTGCAAATCCATTGACAGACGGTCACGATTGGGGCTTATGACGAGCATCAAGGACAAAGCTTGCATTGCATAGTCTAGCTCGAAAAAATCCAGGAAAAAAAGGGACAGAGAGAAAAGAAACCATATAAAAATGTAAATACAGCTTGACTATAGAGAAAACACTATTGAGGCTATACAGTCCATGGTTTGGAATATCCCGGGGCTTGGAGTTTGCGTTCCATCCACACTCCAGGAACTAAAGAATGTGGTCATTCATAGCTGGCAAAAAGATTTTCTCATAGATGGGCAATATGAATTTGCCATCGACGATGTCGAGAGCTTTGGAAATATTTTAACATGTAGCGATGGGATGCCGGAATATCCAGTCTCGTACAGACGCTTTATGGGCTAGCCGTACGTGGGATGGAGAATGGGTGTCATCCCGCCACGTGGAAGGCGCGAAGGGATCGGCCGGCAGGGATTGCGCGGGGGTTTTAAAACGGGTCCAAGGAATTGGGGCATTTTTAAATTCTGGGGATAGAAAGAAAGAAGAGCTCGAGAGCTAGGTATGAGCGGGATCGCCAAGAGAAGGCGCTCGTCTCGCTACGATCACGAGGAGCCAAAATCGGTCCTCGATCTTGGGAACTGCATTTCGCCGCCTCAGCATCATCTCATCCCGGCGGCGCCTCCGCCATCGCAGCAGCAAATCTTTCGGCAGAAGAAGCTCAAGCACGGCGGTACTGCCAGCGGCTCGGACGAGGAGTTCGAGGATGTGTTTGCGCCACTCGATCTCACAGGTGATCTAGAGGCATCGCTCCAGCCTTCTTCCTCCTCCTCGCTCCACAGGTCGTCGTCGTCGGGGATGGATTACTCCATCTGGCAGCCCGAGGTGTTGCTATCCACGGCCTCGGACGACGAATTCGAGATGCGGCTCTTGGATCCCGGCCAGAATCACATCCAGCAGCAGCAAAATATCGGCCTGGACGAAGATTGGCAGAACCACTCCGCGACACACGCCTCGGCTCCATCGTCATACAACTCCTCCGACGATACCAAGTTCTTGGAGATGATGTGTAGCAACGACGTCTTCAATCCCGTGCAGCGCGAGGACGTGCTGCAGGACAAGATCGAGCTCAAGGAATCGATATCGGCGCTGGAGAGCGATGGTGCGGTGGGCCTGGAATTCTGGCGAGGGTTACAGCACCAGCAAGAGCAGCAAGAACAGCAAGAACAGCAGCAACAACGCCATGCCCAAGATCAATCGCTCTTCGAACAAGAACAACAGCAGGGATCGCGAGTACAGCCGGCAGCTGCTCAAGATCATCACGAATCGGGCGATGCGAATGTGGGAATCCGGCTGATCCAGCTTCTCCTCGCCTGCGCCGAGGCAGTGGCGTGCCGCGACGTCAACCAAGCCGCCACCCTTCTCAGCCAGCTCCAGCAAATGGCATCGCCGCGCGGCGACTCCATGCAGCGCGTCACGTCGTGCTTCGTCGAGGGCCTTACCGCGCGGCTGGCGGGGCTCCAGAGCATCAGCCTCAGCGGCGCCGCCTACAAGCCAGCAGTGGCACCGCCGGCGGCACGACGCAGCCAGATCCCCGAGGCGTTGCGCGACGAGGGATTCAACCTCGTCTACGAGTTCTGCCCCTACTTCTCCTTCGGCCACTTCGCCGCCAACGCCGCCATCCTCGACGCCTTCGAGGGAGAATCGAGGGTCCACATCGTGGATCTCGGGATGAGCAGTGCGCTGCAGTGGCCGGCACTGCTCCAGGGGCTGGCATCGCGCCCCGGTGGGCCGCCCGAGTCGATCCGGATCACGGGCGTGAGCTGCGATCGCAGCGACAAGCTCTTCCTGGCGGGCGAGGAGCTCTCGCGCCTGGCCGAGAGCCTGGAGCTCCAATTCGAGTTCCGGGCCGTGACCCAAGCCGTGGAGAGCCTCCAGCGGGGGATGCTCGAGGTCCGCGACGGCGAGGCCATGGCGATCAACAGCGCGTTCCAGCTCCACTGCGTCGTCAAGGAGAGCCGGCGATCGCTCAAGTCGGTGCTGCAATCCATCCACGAGCTGAGCCCCAAGATCCTGACGCTGGTGGAGCAGGACGCCTGCCACAACGGCCCCTTCTTCCTGGGGCGATTCATCGAGGCGCTCCACTACTACTCGGCGATCTTCGACGCGGTGGACGCGATCCTGCCCAGCGACAGCGAGGAGCGGCTCAAGATCGAGCAGTACCACTACGCGGAGGAGATCAAGAACATCGTGGCGTGCGAGGGGCCGGACCGGGTGGAGCGCCACGAGCGGGCGGACCAGTGGCGGCGGAGGATGAGCCGCGCGGGGTTCCAGCCCAAGCCACTCAAGTTCTTGGGCGAGGTCAAGACGTGGCTGGGCATGTACTATCCATCCGAGGGCTACACGCTGGTGGAGGAGAAGGGCTGCATTGTTCTTGGCTGGAAGGGCAAGCCCATCGTCGCGGCTTCCACCTGGAGGTGTTGATCGATCCAATCCCAATGATCGATTTTTTGGTGGTATTTTGATTCGTGTGCATATTCTTTGGAATAATCTCTTGCCCTAATAGTATATTCTTCTGGAATAATCAGCCACGGTATATGCTTTCGGAAGTACCTCTGCTCATTCCGTACTATCATTTTTCATTCGAAGCTACGTTGTTACATTTCATCAGCCTTCTTTCGATCCAAAAAAACTGCTCGCCAAATCACCTTCGAAAGAAGCAAAAAGCAAAGAATTCTCTCGCTCGCTCTCTCGAGAGGGAAGGGGGGTCAATCAATCAATCAATCAATCACGCAAGCAAGCAAGCAAATTATTTTCCCAGCACGAGCAAAGGAAAAAAACCAAACCATTCTATATATCAAGGCCGGAGCCTCCTCTTGCTCGAAGAAGAAGACGAAGAAGATGATCCTCCACCATAGTAGAGCTGATACCACTTGACAAACTTCTTGAGCCCCGTTTGCAAATCCGTGGTGGGATTGTAGCCCAGCTCCACCCTCGCCAGCGTCACGTTTGCGTGGGTGAAAGGCACGTCCCCGTTGCGCGGCATCCTCACCACATTCCTCTTGGCCTTCACCTTGAGATGCTTCTCCAGAATCGCCACCAAGGTCGGCACCGTCACGGGCGAAGTGTTCCCGAGGTTGTACACCCGGAGCTGCGCCGGCCCCCGCTTCTTCCCCCCAGTCCCTGTGCTCGGAGTCGCCGTGTCCAGCGCTCCAAAGCAGCCCTTCACGATATCGTCGATGTAAGTGAAGTCGCGAGCTAGATCCACTTGGTTCGGCCCCTGGTAGATGTTCACTGGCTTCCCTTGCAGGATCGCCTTGGTGAAGAAGAAGTAAGCCATGTCCGGCCGCCCCCAAGGCCCGTAGACCGTGAAGAACCGCAAGCCCGTGATGGAGAGTCCGTAGATGTGGTTGTAAGTGTGAGCGATCTCCTCGCCGGCCTTCTTGGTCGCCGCGTACAAGCTCGCCGGCTGGTCGGTTCGATCGATCTCCGAGAAGGGGACCTTGGAGTTGAGGCCGTAGACGGAGCTGGACGAGGCCCAGACGATCGCCGGTTGCGGGCTCGCCTCCTTGCAAGCCTCCAGGAGGTTGACGAAGCCGGCGATGTTGCTGTGGACGTAAGAGCCCGGGTTCTCCATCGCGTATCTCACCCCGGCCTGCGCCGCCAGGTGCATGACGTGCGTGAAAGTGATCACGTCGAAGAGCTTGCGCAGCAGCGCGATGTTGTTGATGTCGCCCTCGACGACGAACACCCCCTGCTTCTCCAGGAGCCCCTGCCGCGCGCGCTTGAGGAACGGATCGTAGTAGCTGTTGAAGTTGTCCAGGCCGATCACTCCGTCACCCCGCTTCTTGAGAGCCAGGGAGACGTGAGTCCCAACGAATCCGGCGGCGCCAGTGACGAGCACGACCAGGCCGTTCTCTCGCTTGGCGTGCGCCGAGTGGCGGACGTGCTTCTCCCACACGGATCCCCCCCAGCTCACCACGTCGTTCTTCGCCTCCCGCAAGCTCAAGCTCTGCTCGAAGCTGTTGTGGACGCCGGGGGACGTCGCGTAGAAGAAGACCGCCACCACGAGCAAAGCTAGCAGCGCGACGCACCAGAAGACGATCTTCCCCGGGCCGAACGACTGCCACCGGCTTGCAACTCTGCCGAAGTAGTTGCTCCTCTCCATCTTCACTTTGCCTGGCGTGGACGGGAAGGAGCAGTCGTGCACGGCCGAGGGAGGCATGGCGGTGGCGGCCTTGCAGAAGCGGCTGGCTCGCCCGGGACTTTGCTGCTTGAGGAGGAGGTTGCAGTAAGTGCAATTCCCTGGACCCTGTGTCTCTCCCTGTTTTGGAGCACGAAGCAAAGTGTAAGAGAAATCCATCGCAAAAATCTCTATGCCTCTCTTCTCGCAATCTACACTTCATCACGAAAACCTCTACTTCTTGTCTCTTTCTCACACCTCACCAAAAACTCTAAGCCTCTCTTCTTCTCTCTTTATCGCAATCTACATCTCTATCTCCTTCCTCGCTATGCATCACTTCTATCTCCCTGGTTGTGAAGCTACCGTCTTTCTCTCCTTTCTTGCTGCGATCTAGCTCTCCTTTCTCATCAGGCAATCTTTTCTCTCATCTCTCGCAAGAACAACTCTCGAGCTCGATCTAGCTACGCGCTTACCGTGCTGTAGAGAGGAAGACGCATTGTTTTGTGGCTATGACGCGGAGAAGAGAGACGCCACGCCTTGCTGGGATGTGGAGCGAAGGAGCAGCATCATCGCCTCGTCCCGGCGCGAGCAGCCAGATCTGGAGCTGGAGAGCACCCAAAGGCGAGCGCTTTCAGGGATTCACTGCCGCATGCCCGAATTCGCGTCCCCAAACCCTCGCCCTGGGCGATTTGGATGAAAGACTCACCGGTGGGCGCGCAGATCTGGCCGCGCGATCTCTGCATTCACGGTCACGGATGCGACTGGCGCGTCCCACGATCCACAGCTGCGTCGATGGATTGATCGATTGCCTCCTAGAAAATTAAAAAAACAAAGAAAAGATGCCCTAAAACCAGATAAAATAGCTTTAGCGTCCAAATGAATAAATGTGAGGTGCGTCAAACCTGATCTTCTTGTAGAACGGTAATGTATTCACGGGCTTTGGAATCCAGCACCCAAATTGAATGGAAAGCCCTGGCCCTCTGCATTCTTTTCCCTAACATCATGATATCTTTATCAGGATTTATCACGTGTAGAATTTCCATATGCATGCTCGGGAATAATCTCCGGCTCAAATGAAGCGGGAGCGTTGAGGTTTTACGGCAGACGCCTTTCAGCGCCAGGCGCCATGGCTTTGTGTGGATCAGTCAATGCTTGGCTCCCTCACAGCTTTGGGCTGATAATCTGGGGAATGCAGGTTGATTACTGCAGGAAATCATGAAGATCTGGGATGGAGCGTGGATTTGCGATGTTAGATCTATGCTTGCCAGGGCGTGCCACTGCTCCAGCGAGGGTGTGTTGTTATCACGGCACTAGGTCTTTACAGGAGGTAAGCACCAAAATATTAACAGATCACTGCTTGCTAGGGTTTTTCAGAGGGATCTAGGAGCCCTGACAAAGAAGCTTATGGAAAATTATGGAAGAAAGCAGTGCTATCACTCTGGAGTACAAGCCTCTTTCTTGTGGCTCTTCCTCAGCTGTACCTCTTTTAAAGTATGAAATGTATGCGTAAGGATGCCACGAATCTCATCAGCAATCTATTACCAGGAGCAACAGATCATCCAAGAGCGCAATGCTGCATGGACACATGTCATGGACAGATGTGCATTTGTGGACAATGCTCTATTTCTCACTGCTCAATTTATTTCTTCTTTCTTCTTTATAAATGTGTTGCTAAGTCATTTCTACAGAGCTCCCATGATAGAAGTCTAAGTTCTTCTCAATTTTAGAATCGATTGCCTCTCCTAGGGTGGTCACTTTACAATTCATCCAGATGCATATGCTTGCACAGATAGTTAAGAAACTGACTTAGACATTAGATTTACCTATGGCTTTGGTGGATAACATGAATGGGGATTTTTAGATTGGATAAGGGTGAATTGTATAAATTAGAACTTCCCAAGAGGGAAAATAAAGGATAAGGACAAGAAAATTAAATAATCAGAGATATCAAAACTTTTATATGAGATTGATTTTAAGATTGATTTTATTTTCTTGCTTTAACATGATTAGTTTTTTGTAGTGTTCATTGTGGTTCTACCAAAACGTCCATACTCTACTTGGTCACATTGACAAGATAGAAGTACTTGAAAGGGATAAAATTTTATGATTTTTAAGTATTTTTATATATAGTTAAAAAAAATTTATTATTCCAGATGGTAGTGTTTGAGTTTTTATAAAGTTTGTGAACCCTAGTATATAGATACAGTGACCTCACCTCTACTTTACCTACCAATTATGTACTAATTGCAAGAGAACAAAGTTACTATTATTTAATGTATTTTGCTATAATCCACCCATTTAATAATTTAAAAAATTTCATAAGAACTTCTTAAAATAAATTCTTAATAACATTTTCTCCCAATAGGCTTTGCAAATCCTCTTTCTTCACAGCTCTCCACTACTTAGTATTGATTAATTGATTGGTAGAACCCTATCACCAATCTATGCTGCAACCACACACTATTCAAAGAAGAAGTCACAAAGAAATTCATCCCAAAGAAGTGTTGTTTATTTAAATTGATTTATTCCTACTTTTGAAGTGATTGATTTTTCCAGTGCTTCCTTGAAACCCTATCTTAATGAGGAAAATATAAAGAAAGATTATTGCTAACACTAGACTACACTAATTTAATGGTCTTTACAATTTGAATAAAGGATTTTTTTTGTGGGTAGTAGTGGATACATATAGAATATATTTGAATATTTTAAAACATTCTACTGTTATTCATTTAGATTAGGGTTTTGCATACTCTTGTTACTTCAAAAGTTTCATAACACACTATTGTGAGCTTTTCAGGTAAATTAAGTTCTTTACTCTATATCCATGCCTTAATATACTTTTGAGCTTACTTTTGACCCACTTTAGACAAGTTTGCCTTCAAGCCATGTTTTAGGGGTTGGCATGTATGAGTTAAGATCACCTTCAAGCCATATTTTCTATAGTAGTGTTCTAGAATTTAACATCTTATAAATCATGTATGTGTATGAATATATTATAAAATATGCTTAAGAATATTTTAAAAGATTAGTAAGTATTTTCTAGTTAGTAAGGAAGAATGCTAAAGAATAATGCCTACCTTTTTCCTTTAAGTGGCTTACTAGAGTCATTGCGGCCTTGATTAGAATTAGCAATGCCAATCTATGCCATAAATCTAATTTTAATGGCCACATAAGCAGTTTTCACATACTTGGGATCACTACAGATTATTGTTGTCTTGCTCTTTGTTCAATCTAGCCACCATGAATTGCAATATGGATGTTGTGCATTCCTTGGATTGCCCACAACACTGTAAGGGAAAGAAAGGCACAGACAATGCTAGAAACTTGTGAGCCAAAGCTGCAACAGTAGTATGTTTAAACCTATAGCTTTCTCCAAACCTAGAGC